ATAATACTGGCCATGACTAGTCGTAAAGAAACCAACACATTGTGATTAACCGAGTCGGGTTGGTTCTACCGTTCTTGGCTCAGATGGTTCGAGTAGTATTATTGGGTGCGGCTATAGTTGTATCTGTTTGGTAAAATTGGCGCTCTCTCGCGTGACAGCGGGCCGACATGCCGGTGGTTGTAAGATTGGGCAGTAAGAAGACAGAAAATCGTGCCTTGTTGAGAGTAGTATAAGCCAGGTAACTAGTAGTGCATACAGCAGCTCAACAAAGGTAGTATATGACCACAAGTGTTAGGTTTTGGTGGCTGCCTGTGAGTGGCCAAATGCCACTGAAGTAGTGTAAGGGACAGAGACCAACGTACTTATTCTTCAGTTCCCTTTTAGTAACACCACGTCTTCTTCTATTCTTTCCATTTTCGTTTATGAGGCTATGACGGCATACGCAGTAATGCTCCCCTCGATTCCCTTGAATACACAACAATGAGAGATCAACATAGCCATACTCCGAGATAGACAAGTGGAAGGTTGAATGCAGTAAGTGTAATATGTGATTACTGCTGTGCAAGTGAGACAGCCGGCGAACATTGAGCTGGTGCTGGGTGCCTAGTAGTCATAGGTACAGGCACGAGTATGAACAAGCACTTGTCAAGTCAATATGTTGCCTGGGGTATATAATTTGGGCTTGAACAAAGTTGCTTAGAGACTGAATTTGCTCTCCAGCAACTAGTGTACTTGTAGCCTCGATGATCGGTTTGCTATTTACGGCTGGCTGGGCTAGATGTGTCCTTGTTCTCATTCCCGTGGTCGACACTAGATCTTTTATTAGAGCACAAGGGGGCTGCGGAGAGCGTACCAGGGTCAATCTCAATCTCCTCTTGTGGGATGAACAGCTCGTTCATGTAGTTGCACGGCTACCTAGGTAGCAGAGGTAGTAGTGGTGTTGTTCGTATATGGTTCTCCATTCTACCCGCGGGCTGGCAAGGCTTCGGAATTGCAAGTACGTACTTGTACTAACTAGGGAGCCCTAGCTGTTCTTTCTTTCCGAGCATGTGGACAATTCGGTTTCCATCATTGAGTGCCTATTCCAGGTAGACATGATCCACTCGGGCATCCACCAGGTAGTCTCGCATGCAACGCCGTGCCGTGCTAAACTAGTGCTGTCTCTGCAAGGCTTGTTTGGCGACCGCTCAATTGGAAACTCATTGCCGCTCAAGCTAGTGCGGCCGATGCGACTTTTGCATGTATAGTCGACGTGTCTGTGGGCTCCCCACGCCTGAGTACCCGTAATCCAGTCTGCAAATGTGCGCACCGCTGTTTCTTCGCGACACGTCTGGGGAGGGCTGATTGATGCTAGTGAAGATCCTACGACTCATTGCAGAGTCGAGAGGCAGCGCAGCGACGTGGTTGGTGTCCGGTGCGTGGCGTCATGTTGAAGCCAATGGATTGGGTATTGCGTGAGAAAGGGTAGGGCAGCTCGACAGATCGACCTGGAGAGCTTAAAACTCGCGCTTTGTCGTGGTGCTCTTGAACAGACCTTCTTTTTAGACATAGCTGACAATTAGCCTCGTCTCTGTATATTGCTTGCTCGTGCAGTATGAAGGTGCTCCGTTTGCTAGTCGACTAACCAGCCAGCCCGTTGGTGCTGACCGCCCTTCTCATTATCATGAGCGAGCTGGCAGCCTCCATCCCAAACCGGGCAACGCCTATGCCAAAACAGCTAATCTGGCCCAGTTGGCATCGCCTTCTCGCCGCGTCGGCTCGATTCCGCCAGAGACCAGGCACCCGTACGAGTGCAGGCTACAGATATGCAGGCAGGCCACTTGGCACCCCTAGTTCCTTGTCTGCCAACGTGGTTAACGTCATGTGGCAGCGCGTCATAACCCTCACGGCGCGCTTAGGAGAGAGCTGACCGTCATTGTTTCCTCTGCTCTCTGGGAATCGAAGTCTTCGGCTGGTGCGGACGAAGGACGAAGTAACTTCGATAGATGTTGTGAATTAGCCATCTGTGAAAAGGAAATTGGCTCTGCTGTCATGTAAACCGACAAATAACTTTGGAGGATTGGGTGGATGCCCCAGTGAGTCAACAGAATGATGGTTGATACAAATAGCGATGCAGTCGTGGCCAATCCAGCCTCAGCTGTGCATATGCTGGCTTTGCGCAGAAGGATGATGATCTAATTCTCAGGCCATAACAAGAGCAGCCGCCATAGCCAGGGATAATGATATGGGGTACCGGAGTGTTCCGTACATGCATGCCAATGGTATTGAGATGCATAGGTACACATTAATTGTTGCCCACGCTGCGTCTGGCGTCTTGCACCCAATAGAGCGAGCGTGATGTACTGTATGTATTCGCCCATGCTCGCAAGTGTCACCGCAGATTGGTGGGGACGGGTAGACAAAGCACAGCAAGGAAGGAGGCTGTTAGAACCACGTTGCCCAGAAGTCCCATCATTTCTTGCTGATAGCTAGTCAACAAGTACCTGGTACACGCAGGTTTGTGACGTGTGGCTCATCGCGACCTATGATCGTTGAGTGGAAGAGCTAGTCGCTGCCGGAAGACTACCCGGTGATATTGCTGAGGAAATTGAATGGAGGGCTAAACACTGGGGGCTGCGTCTCAGTGAAGACACACACAGCCTGGCGGCTGGTGATTTTGCACATGAACCGTGGCGCGCGCCATTCTGCTAGCCCATCCACCTTTTTATTCCCCGTATGCCAGCTGTACAGCGTGCTTGGACCCCAGTCAAGTATTGCTCCAGTCACAAAGCCGCAAACTTTTCACCTCTCACAGCTCAAAACTGTTGCATCGCGGCAGTTCACTCGCAAGCCAGCCTTTTGTTGTAGAGTAAGGTAGCTCCGGGCCTGCCTGATGGCAGCGAGCCAGCCGATCATTGCGGTGATGCCAGTCAGAGAACTCCGTGCTCAAACTAGCAGCATAGTATCCATCGATGCTAGCAACTGCTGGCTAGTCCCGGTGCTAACCAACCCGACCTTCTGGTGCCTCTGAGCCCTGTCAGAAGAAAGGGTCGTTGGAAGGTCAAAAAGGGGGGAGGGGTGAACGAGTGATTGATACCTAGTCGTGAGCGCGCACACCGTGACCTACCTGGAGACTAAGACGCAACTTAGGTATCCCTGCTCGCTGCTGCCGACTCCATCGCAGCCGTGGACCCAAATAAGAGACAAGAGCTGCAATGCTAGGTACTAGCGGGCTCTTCGAGGTGGAGAGACCACGCTTGACAGCGATGGGGTCTTGCTGCGGTTGTCCTGCACCTCTACCTGCTTGTACAAGTAGCTCGACTGACGTTTCGCTCTCCCTGGTCCGGCTGGCAGGGCAGGGGTCGAATCACTGATGGCCCTATCCATGAAAAAATCTCCATGTACTTGTGGCGCCTCCACCCCCATGCTTGCTCAAACCCTGGCTGTGGGACGGACCATTGGGCTGGCGTGACCATGCGAATGCTTTCGCTGCAGTACTGGGTCTTTCTTCATCGAAACAACAAGGGGTCGGCGTGGTATATTTCAAGACGAAGCTGTGGGTGGCCGGACCGTCAACAGCCAATGCTCCCAGTGTGGCTTGCCATCCTTCGCCAGCCAAAAGCTCTGTTGTGAACCCTTCCATCGCTTCTTTTCTCGTCACTCAATTCCCCCTTCTCTGCTTTCTTCGTCTTTGTTGGTGCCGCGAGTGGCTATTGATACTGTTGAAATCCCAATCTCTCCAGGCTTCGTCCAAGTCGTCGAGGCTGAATCCGAGATAGAAACTCCAAGATCTTTCCAGTCTCTCGCCCGAGAGTTGTAGGATTTGGAGTGCATCTACCTAATTGCCCAAAAGGCACTGACTTTCTCTGGTCAGCGTGATTTGTACATGGAAAGTACCTACAGAGTAGTGTAATCTGCTCTGAATCTGCTCTACGGTGGTACTTGCCTCACCGAGACTTCACTTTTTGTTCAGGTAAGCAACTCCTTCCCTGCCATCGCCTGTCGACTCCATGTTCCAATCTTGGCCCTTCTGCCCTGTTCCGACTGGTTTCTTGGCTTGAGGCTTCCTCTTTCACTTCGTATCTTCTCGCATCCTCGACCCACGCCCATCAGCCACCCTTGCCTATCCTTCCGCTGGAATCTCCCAATACCTACGCGAGTATTATCAAGGGGATGCTGCACGCAAACTGAGATCCGCGGGCCAGGAGTCTCTTGATACTCTTTTGAACACGCGGACCTCACGAGAGCGGATTCCAGGCTTCTTGAAAGCTGGGCGTTGAGTCGTTGAATGCTCTCCCGGAGGCAGTTTGGCATCTATTCCCCTCTTTCCCCTCCTCTTGCGGAGGTGAAACTGTGTATAACGGGCAGATTCCTAGCTGGGCCATCTGATCATCCGATATTTCATAATTGCCATAACTATCCACCGACGAGACTCTATACTCCTTAATCGCATCGAAAAGAAGTTTCCTTGTCAATTGAGCTAACTTTGTTAGCAATACGCATGAGCTTGAGCTGAGACTCTAACCGAGTTCTCCGGTTCAGCTGGCGTTTTGGCCGCAACATACCTAGTACTAAGCAGACTACTCTTCTTTGGATATTGACTTGCTCGGTCTCTTGTGAACGAGTTTACATCGGACAGCCGGCTCGATCGCCCGCCGTCTCGTTCTATTCTGCAGCCGGATCTCTATCCGAATTATCTACCACCGATTATCATTGGGGCTGTTTGGGTATCAATCCCAGCCGGTCCCAATTACACCACGGTCGCCCTGGCGAACTCTTCCGTAGACGTGCGGCAACAGGCGCTGCCTCTAGTCAAGGACAGCCCTGAACCTCCTGCCACCGACTCCTCTGGGGCTTCGACGCCAAACTCCCCCAGCACACCAACTACTCCCTCGTGGCTCTCCAAAACTCTGTCCCGTATCAAGTCTCCCAAAATCAACAATTTGCGATTCTTGCTTGGGAACGAAAAGAGTCGATGCGCTGGTCCTCGAGATCAGGAGTGCGCAGGTGATCAGGCCTCAATGTCGCAAAGGGGACCTGGCCATCGCTCGCCCTCTCGTCTCTCTTCCAAGTCCCCTGTCGGTAATGAACAAGTTTCTTTCTCTCAATTCAAGTCGCAACGATATGAATCGATTGGAATCTCACCTGAGGTCGGCCGTGCTGCTCAGCATTCAGCCAAGGCCTTTGGAGTCCATAACATCTTGAACCCTTCTGAGGCACATTCCATGGGCTCTGATTCCAGAGGAAGACCACCCTCGCGAGCAAAGGAAACAGAGCCTGTCTACCCAGCATCTTCTTCGACTCCTTATGGTGTTCCGCGTCCTTATTTCCCTGGCCATGCCGATACCGGCTCCGTACCGACGACTCCAGTTACCGCAGGTGTGGTGCCTGCAGGCAGATATCCGATATCCGAGCGAAATTCTCCATCAACAGCGTACCCTTTCCCTATAATGGATAACCCGAGAAAGATACTCAGCCCCAGGGCTCCCCGAATCTCGAACCTGGGTCAGACTCACTCTCCAAGAGATCAAGATTTGCGACAACCCTTAGCTCCCAGCATGCTCCCCGCAAAACGACCCTATGAACAAGACACTCCCGATGAAGTCAGACATGCTCCTGGACTTCAACAGCCGTCAGGAATTGCTTCCGGTCCGCATACCCCGATGGTAACTCCACCAAGATCTCTTTCTCAGCCTGTGGCCCGCCCTTTGGATGCCCCCTATGGACAGCCGTCGACAATCCCACCGCCAGGAGATCTCCAGAGCCGATCGCATGGAATGCATACATCTTCGCAATTGCAGCATGGAATCACTGGGATGCCCGCTAATCGACCGCTTTCGGTAACAGAAGGAGCCCTGACTGAGGGAACATCGACATGGCCAGATATATTGCGCCGGCAAGCAGGTTCGTTTGTTGGGATAGACTCTCAACAGGCTTATATGACTTTGCCAGGCAGTGATACACCGATCCCAGTTCAAGTAGACTACTCCCAAGCATCAAAGAAAGCGGACGAAAAGAGACAGCGAAATGCAAAAGCCTCGACGCGCCATCGCAGAAAGAAGAAGACCCTTCAAGAGGAGAACATGAAACATCTGCAGGAACTGAAGGAAGAGCGACAGCAGATGCTGCAGCAAATAGAGGAACTCGAAAATCAGCGGGACTTTTACAGGAGCGATCGCAACCGGCTCAGAGACGTTGTGGCCCGGACGCCGGCTGTAAGCAACCATGCAGCCGGGCCACCTAGTCCGGTGCTATCGAAGACTATCAGCTTTGTGGATAGAAGCCCCCTAATGCAGTCTCATCACATTCCCACCCCTACTCAAGGTTATCTCAGTGAGGTGTCATCGGCAGAACGGCCCGTACCGGTTCGGCGCACAGACGATCGTCCAGATTTCTCGCCTCCGATGTATGGTGCTCTACCTGGTGGTCCACCGCACAGCCTCCCGTCGATGCACAACCAAGCCTATGGCGCACCTCCGCCGAGGCCCCCATCTGCAGCTTCTTCAACGAGCGGAGAGAGACTGCCGCCGTTACGAGTGATGGAGGGACCACCTCTCCCCATGTCAGGACTGGTCCACGGACAACCTCAAGAACAAGATATGAGAACTGGGCAGTGGAGGGCAGCTCAGCCGTCCCATCTGGAAACCGGTTGGGCAACTGCGCCAAGAAAACACCAAGACAGCCCCCGCTGGTAACAATATCAAGCCGTCTGCTGTGCGACTTCGAATATGGCTCTCTTTCTGACGATATGTTTGTGCTACATGGGCAATCATGTAGCGCCCCAGGGACTAATCTCACCCATACTTATAATATCTCATCATTTCCATAAGACTAATTTTCCTCTTTGGATCTGAACACAACATTTAATTTTTGTTTTGGAGTTTCTGGCTTGTACCAGCGCAAATACAATCTACGTCGGGCAACCGATATTTCTGATTATCCGCAAAGTAATTCGGCTCTACCACACTATTCATTTCTTTAATCACACCATTGACACTATCATTTTATAACTTCCTGTTGTCCGGTTGACCAAGCAACCGGCCTCTACCTATGCTTGCTTAATCTATCTGTGGACTTGAGATAGCAGAGGGTTTCTTCTCTCTTCCTCGTTTCTATGAGAATGACTTGCTCAACCGCAAAAAAAGTCGAATATCAAAATAGAAGAAGTTGAATGAGTCAACCTGTTGATTCATCACTACATTCGTTTGTCTATCTATTTATTTGTTATGAAATGTTTGCCCTGAAGGGTGTCCACCTACGACCAGCGAAGAGATACCCCTAGTGGATCAATGCTACACAAGGAACAATGTTTTGAAAATTAGAAAAATCATGGAATCGGGAAGAATGTGATTCATTGTATTCAATGAAGGCTATCCATTCATTATATGCCGCCGTTTGCTCTCATCATATGTTTTTGGAATTTGGTATAACTCTGGCTATAGGAATAAGGCAGATATATAATCAGATTGATAAAATTATATTCCCAACAAGCTTCAAAGTACTTCTCCAGTATAAAGACATAAAAGTATTCGAAATACTAGCGATTTCAGCACAATAAGTACACAATATGAACAGAGAAGTGCTGCGTAGGAAGTCCCTAAGACAGGACGAGTATACCCGTGCCTTGGATCTCTTGCTCGAGTAGCAACAAACACATTATGATCAAAAATTGTAAAATTCTCCTGGTATAGAAATGAAGTTGTTTATTTTCATTTTAATATGCACCTCGGGAAAATCCTATGATATCACGAAATTCCAGTTCTGCTCGAAGCAGGTTAGATTTGCCGTAGTCCAGCATGGCACGTACCATATTGTATCGGAGACGACAGATCCGATCTCCGAATAGTGGGGCGATAGGCCATATTTGAACCTACCTCGAACACCAGATGTAGCTTCAGCCTAAGCTCTGGATATGTCTGATGCTGGGCGAACATTGTATCCCATTGGGTTCATATCTAGCAGTTGCGGCTTTGAGTAAATGTGAAGCCCCAAAAGAAGATTTTTTTTTTTCGTTTAATTATGCACCATATCACGCACTAAAGAATTATTCAAGCATGTTAGGAGGAAGATGCATGGCAGTTGCAAAGCTGACGAGGCCTGCTCAAAGTGCTGTCCATCGGCTGAGCTTCATTCGGCAGTTTCGTCATTCTCAGCGATTGTTGTCATCCCGGCTAGAGACTGAACTAACGGCACCAAATGAAGCAAGATGGACACAGCCCGTGGGCTTGTTTATCAACAACCAATTTAGTGAAAGTGCTGGAGGGGCCAAGCTTGCTACGACCAACCCATAGTGTGTACTGCCGTTTGTTACGTTTCTTCCTAGATGCAGATGGATGAATTTGCGGCCCCTAATCTGGTTGCTGACACTTTTAAAAATCCGGCGCAGCACGGAACAGGAAATCTGCTCTGTATTCGCAGCTGGAGAGCTCGACGTAGGCAGGGCAGTTCAAGCTGCTCGAGAAGCACTTAAGCAGCCTTCATGGAGGTCACTGTCTGGCACTGAGCGAGGCCACCTGATGAACCGGTTGGCGGACTTGGTAGATGAACATGGTGAAACGCTTGCTGCCATTGAGACGCTCGATAATGGCAAGCCGCTGTCCATCTCACGAAGCTACGATGTACCGCACTTCTCCGAGGTGCTTCGCTATTATGCCGGATGGGCAGATAAGAACCAAGGTTCGGTGATTGATATTGGACCGAAGAAGATGGCTTACACAGTCAAACACCCTGTCGGCGTATGCGGCCAGATCATCCCCTGGAACTATCCCCTTGATACGGCAGCGTGGAAACTTGGTCCTGCCCTGTCGTGCGGAAACACGATAGTGCTCAAGCTGGCGGAGCAGACGCCATTATCGATGCTGTACGTGGCACAGCTCATACGTGAAGCGGGTTTTCCCCCCGGAGTCGTCAATATTATTAGTGGGCGCGGCGGAGAGGCGGGCGCTGCTCTGGCACGTCACCAAGAAGTGGACAAGATTTCCTTTACAGGCAGCACGGTAACGGGCAAGGAGGTGATGCGCATGGCAGCTGGCACACTCAAGGCAGTCACTCTGGAGACGGGGGGCAAGTCACCGCTGATTGTGTTTGACGACGCGAATCTGGAGCAGGCTGTGAGATGGGCCCACGAGGGAGTCATGGCCAACCAAGGCCAAATGTGCACGGCAACGTCACGGCTGTTGGTACAAGATGGAATCTACGATAGTTTCGTGGAGAGATTCAAGGCTTTCACGGAGGAGACTTCGATCCTGGGAGACCCATTTGACGGGAGGACATATCAGGGGCCCCAGATCAGCAAGGCACACGCGGAACGCATCATGTCGTACATATCGTCGGCTCGAAACGATGGAGCTGAAGTCTTTCATCCTCGCGGGGATTTGCCCTCAAGAGGATTCTTCGTTCCACCAACTATCCTTACCAATGTCAAGACGAACACAACGGCCTTTCAGGAGGAGATCTTTGGCCCGGTAGCAGCCATTGCGCGGTTCAAAGGAGAGGAAGAAGCTGTAGAAGTCTCCAACGCGAGCAGGTATGGGCTTGCTGGCGCAGTCTTCACAAAGGATCTGGGAAGAGCACACCGTGTGGCGCGGAATTTGGAGGCTGGTATGGTGTGGGTGAATAGCAGCAACGATTCTGATACGAGAGTCCCGTTTGGAGGGGTGAAGGAGAGCGGATATGGGAGAGAGCTTGGTGAAGATGGACTGAAGGGCTACTATTCTGTCAAGGCGGTGCTTGTCAACTTGACGGATGAGTGAGCTGGAACTATCTACCTACCTAGATGAGTCGATGTAGCTTAAACGAAGCGCCGATACGCACATACCGTTCAATTCATTGTCCGCTTTTTGGGCAAGGCCAGATAATGAAAGGGTATAAGAGTGTTTGTTGATTTATAGAGAATTGCGGTGGTCGTCGTTGATTCTCATGCGGCTGCCAACAACTTGAACTGAAAGTGGAGGTACCGAGTTACACAAGCACATGCCGCTAAACCATCCCTGTCAGCTGCAGCTCCTAGCTATCCCCCGCCAAATCTCGCCAAGCTCCCGCCATTCGACTATCTGGCCACAAACTGCAGCCTCGTGCATTCGTCGCCGGAACCCATCTCGATGGCTTCCTGAACCCGAACGCGCCCAATTCCAAGTCAACGGCCGTCTGTTCCCTCTTTTTTGTCCTGCTTCTATCGCGCTTTTCCCTTTTCTTTTGGAATTGGCGAAAGCAGCGAATAAGTTATCCGCACGACCCGCGATACCAAACCCTGACATCATCGACCACCATGGCATTGCCGTTTCCGCAAGCCAGCATAAAGCTCGACTATCCGCTGTACGCAGTCAGCTTTGATCCTCAAGATGCGAACCGCCTAGTTGTCGGCGGAGGTGGCGGCGCTGGGCGCTCTGGCGTGGCCAACAAGATTGTGCGTGACGCTCTGTGATACCTTGTGCGATTGCTTGTTCTAGCTGCCAATGCTAACCGTGCTGCTCCTCTGTGTAGTCCGTCGTTGAAACCGTTGACCAGGGCGAACTGCGAGTAGCTGGAGACATTGCTCTCTCCCGCGATGAGGACTCCGTCATGTCGCTCGCCGTTGCCGACCGTGCAAACGACCAGCTGTCCTATGTCTACGCCGGCGTCAACTCGAGCCCCAAAGAGATGTCCAAGGGCAAAAACAACCACCTCCGCACGTTTTCCGTCGAGCAAACCAAGTCGCGAGCCGCCGGTGCTAAGAACCCCGATGTACAGGTCGCAGAGGTGTCTCGAAGCGCCTTCTTCGCGAACCCGGATGCCGACACTTACCAGCCGGTACTGCGCATCTCTGGATCCATTGGTGCCGCGGCCACGCGCATGTGCAAGGAGCCTCAGGTGGCTATTTTTGATGCCTCGGGGCCGAAGCCCAAGTCCAAGGGTGTCTTGAAACTGGAAAAGGATGCAGAGGATCTGGACATCATTCAATGCGAAAATGGAGAGTACTTGCTGGCCTACTGCCACAAGTACGAGCTATATCTGGTCAAGATTGGCCAAAAGAACAGTGATCCGGAGCTCATTTTCACAATGACTGAAGACCATGGTGAGCTGGCTGCGTTTCGCTCGATTCGATTCGTTACACCCAGCTTCATCCTTGCCGCTGCCAATCTACCAAAGTCAAGCGGCGTCATCCTCCAGGGATTCCGATTGCCGACCCCAGGCCACGACAACGCGCGGATATCTGCGACAGTGCGTATCCCCAAGAATATATCTGCGACCGCCCTCGCCATTGCAAATGCGTCGCCGCCTCCGTCTCCGTCGACTCCCGTGGGCAATACGCAGTTTGTCATTGCGGTAGCCGGCAACGACTCTTCGATTTACTTTTATAGCATGGATCACAAGGCTCTTGCCTCTATACAGCTTCTCTCAAACTTGAACCCGCTCTACACACTGAAAGACGCCCACAAAGGGGATAATATTACCGGTCTGGCGTTTTCGAACTTCGTCCCTCCCAAGCAACACCTCACCCAGCAGTTCCTTAAGCTGGCAAGCATTACTCTTCAGAGTGGCGTCACTGTTCACAGCATCGCCTTGAAGCGACATATTGACGTATCTCCCGGAAAGCCGGTCGATGAGACGGCAGCTCGATATGTCACCGCCCTGCGTGCTAAGGCGCCTTCCAGACGGCCAGTCGTCATCACCCTTTCCATCATTGTCCTCATCATGGCCGTCATCGGACAGGGTATCATGGAAATGTATGGCATGAGCAAGCCAATTATCAATGCGCAAAAGTTCCTCCCGTCTTGGCATGGCACCTTGCGCGACCCGGCTCACCCACCGGCAGTTTTCAACAAGGACTTTCTCATCTCAAAGCTAGCAGGTAGCGGCGTCAACACTGCCGAGACCCTCGTTATGTGGGAAGCAGACCATCCTGTTGTAGATGCCGAGGACAGCCCTGGCGGTAAGAAGATTGCCTTGGATGTCCACGATGAAGAGGTTCATGGGCCCGCCAAGACTTGGGAAGAGTTACCTGACGCGCAGAAGAATGCCTGGAAGCAGAGGATGCAGTCGGCAGGTGCGTGGACACAGAATATGGGCGAGAGTGTGTTCAGGGGTATCCTGTTTGGTGAACTTGCAGGTGCCGTTGGCCATGCTGTGGCGGAAGGGCTGGCTTAATAGGGCCATTTCCTTTGCGTCCATCCACTATTCCTGTTCCCATTGTAACGATATCTCTTGAACGGTGGTTTAATCTGGCTTTATGAATGCAGCAGCTGGGAGGAAATTTATTACTTGCTTATTAATTGCTCCGCATATCTACTTTTAAGGCTAAATCTGGAGGATTTGGGCTGGGCAGAGACAAAGTTCTGAGCCCCTTATAACATTTAGTCTCAAAATAAATAGGTCTATAGTGAAGCTGTTAAATGTATATGGATAATCAGTTCCTTTTTCAAAAGCCATCTGTACTCATATCCACGTCGCGCCGCAATTACCAGGGATATACTTGGCTACATCCATCGCCAATGCCATTTTGACTTCTGGACAGTACTTCCACGTGTGTTGCCTCAACTCTGGCGATCCCCAAACAGGGCTATGGAGAAAAAAGCCGCTGCCGCCAATGTGGTACCCCATTGGCTCGTAATATCCTATTCTCCAGTCATCTACCCCTGGCATATACTCACCATCGTCGACATGCTCAATCTTAGAGCTGCTTGAAACATTTACAGTCTGCTCTAGCTGTCCGCCGTGCATTTCGCCAGAAAATGTCAGTGATACGGATCCATTAGCCACTTTGCCGTCGGGATGGTGGGCAAGACGTTCGGATAGCCAAACATCCTCGGGCTCCGAGCCGTTGGCGCGTAGCTGATTGCGCAGGATGTCGACGATGCGGCTCACACGCCTCAGCGACAATCCTCCATTCCCGCCCCATTGTCCTCCAGGGTTCCACGGCGCGCCAACCCAATCGTATTCTAAGAAGTCGTTGAGATTCAGTCTGCTATTCGCGCAGAGCATGGAGTCTGTCTGGAAGACCAGCAGCCACTCTGCCGGTTGAAGCACGACCTCGTATAGCCACAGCGTGGTAAGAAACTGGCTGATTTCCTCTTGTCCGTTTGTGCTCATGTTTGTGGGGATGTATGTGAGATCAAGCTTCCCAGAAGCAACCTGGTTTTGGATGGCGACAGAACGGTTGACTGAAGCCACCGAAAGGGGAGAGCCCATGAAGCGGAACTGCCAATCTGGGGGCACGACGGATATGAAGTGTAGCAGGATGGGTGCGAGAATAGCACTGGGGCGGTTTTCGATGAGAAGGGCCACTTTGGAGGCGTTGTATGGGTTGATGCGTGGTCTTTCTGGGTATTCGAATGTGATGCGTGGAATGTACATGGAGATGTTGGAGTTGGAGACGAGGTACGGGAGTGACAGGAGGAAGAGCCTGGTATACGGTTAACTGCTGGAGATGCAAAGAAACATTAAAAGTGCAAACCAACACGATGGATATCCACAGTATCACGAACCGTCTTCGTCTGGTATGCCAAAGGAATGCCATTGTCCTATTTCGGAGGAATTGAACATAGTGATTGGCGGGCATCCCGTCGAACTAGCTGGCTGGATGCTGTCTATTGGCGATTATAGACGCACGCGGGTCGAGATATCATATGGGGGTTATGGAAAGCGCCGTTTGCTTTCCGTTTATTGCTGCCATCAGAAACTGTTCATGATGGCTCCAACTCTTCGATCACGTTAGAGTCGGCCAGTAGGCGAGATGTTGATGTAGGTACGTACTTTGTTCCTTCCCAACGCGGGTACTTGTAGAAGCTCTCACCGCCTGCGTCAAATTGGAGGCAAATAAGATTTGGTAGCTGGATAATTTATAGCAGTTGATTTGCTTCAACTTGGCTCCCCAGACCAACGCGAATGTAGCGGTAATAGCTTCTCCCAATTATACCAGCAACCAACCATTGCCACCACCATGGCTAGATTCAACAACTCAGGGGTTCTCTCTATCTCCCCCAATCGGATATTTTTGCCAATCCTTTTGGTCCTCATGTGTGTCAAACATCTGGTCTTTAGACCTGAATTCGTTGTCTAATCAGAGTTCAACTGCTAAGAGGCCCGCCTATAGGTGGTATTTAGGTCGTTTACACTCCCAATACGAGCCCGTCATCGCATCCGAATTCTCCTCCGGGCTTGAAGAAGCACGCAAAATGGTTCCCAATGTCAAATTATACTGGCTAATGCCGCCCGCCAAGGACCCTCGCGCCGCTTACAACTCGTCAAAGCTTGCTCTTCTCATCGAAGCCAGGCCTATGCCTCGCCTATCCCCGTTGATTCTACACATGACAACGGTGGTGCCGCCTGACTGGCGATTTCTCTTTATCGGTTCGCCTGAGAGTATTCACAGCGTGAGCCAAGCCTATTCAATCAAGCACCAGCAGGTTATTGGAAAGCTAGATTTGGTGGAGCTTCCTCCTCCATGGAGTGTTGCCAGTAAGGAGGATGTGTTTAGGCTGCTTACCGATTCGAGATTTTATGACGAGTTCTTGCCAGGAGTAGAGTGGATCTTGAAGTATGAGCATGACAGCATTCTATGTGCAAACTCGGAAACAAGTCTGAATGACCGGCTTGACTGGGATTGGGCAGGTGCTTCGCGGTATGTATTTGATGATATGTTGGAACATTTCGGAAAATTCCTAACCTGACACGTACGGTATAGAAATGATGACGACCGCTTCCCAGGCAACGGTGGCCTCTCTCTCCGTCGAGTGTCAGTGATTAAACGGATCCTTAGCTTTCAAGCACGCTTCAATGACTCGGAACCGGAAGATGAGTGGTTCGGAAAGCGTCTATGGGTGCTACCCGGAGCAAGAGTTGCATCAAAAGTAGATGGCGCTATTGCTGTCGAAGATGTCTACATGGAGAGACCCATGGGCTATCACATTCGCGGCGGTGGGGAAAACTTGAACGAAGAGATATGGGGAGACCCGTCTCGCCGAAAGGAGATACTAGAGTATTGCCCAGAGCTAAGCATGATTATGGATATGAAACTAGAGCGAGAGAGGTGTCCAGATGATGATGGGAATGGGGACAGAACACTCTCAGATGCTGAAGTGGTAACCACAGCTTTGGAGGAGGAAAACGGAGCCGCGAAGACGATGCCGAGTGATATCGAGGTCATAGTGCGGCCACCGCAACCTCCGCCTTTGCCACAGCCTTGGACGGGCTCTATCACCACATTAGGAGCTACCATTACTACGGTAGGAGTTTCAATCACCACGGTGGGAGTTTCAGTCACCACGGGAGGGGGCCCTTTGCGCACTGGTATCGATTAGAGTCGGTAAGAATGTCGCCCATTTATTTATATATGCGGCCCGTAAGCAGGTTTATATTTTATTTTCCTAAGTAGTCAATGCACAATGAAATGTAATAAATCTTTGCCGAAGTGAAGATCTGAGTATGAGAAACTTTCCCTTACATGACGTATTGCAATTCAATCAATCTAGCTGTTTTGTACTGTAAATGAACATCTCTCCCCATGGCATATATAGCCAATCCCTATATATAGTTGTAATGCAATTTTAGTTTATCGTGGTTTGACATGAATCCGTATTGATAGTTTATCCAAACATGAGTAGACTGCTACTAGCCCTTTCCCGACTCTCAAGAGATTTATCGACCTTATCCTAACTCAGAGATTCCGTTTCTCTAAGCTGATTCTCAAGATGGCACGAGCCGAGGTGATTTTCCAGTTTGCCAAGCCTCTTGAAGGGGATCTTGGATTTCTTGCATTCTGGGTGAGGGCAGGGATATTCTCCTTTTACATGAGCCTCTTTCATATGGCGTTTGAGGCTGTCAGGTCTGGAATGGGTGAAATCTTTTTGGCAAGTAGGACATTTAGATGAGTGGTTCCTGAGGATATACTTGCTTGTCAGAGATGGTTTGGATAGGCGAAGGGAAAGAATCATCTCAGCTCTTGGCTCAGACTGACCTTGGTTCGGGTGTTGCCGTTGATATAGTGAGGACACTTGGGTCTATACCGGCGGTGGATGGATATCGATCTACCATTGCATCCGGTAAGATCGTTTGTGTATAGAGCCGCTTTTCTACTTCTAATTAGCAGCTCGTAGGGGAAACGCCCTTAACAGTGCTTACCTTCTAATTCGGGAGACTCTGGTCTATTATCCGATGAAGATGTCTCGTTTCCTGGGCAGACAAATAGAAGGAGGCAATAACTGTAATGCTGTCTACCGCCAGGGCGTCGTTCATGGTCACAATCCGAACACTTGCTAAGGTTTGTCCCCGGGGTGGGAAAATCATCGTCTAATGATTGCTCCCTAGGTAGCTCCTCCTGCTGATTCCAAAATCCAATTCCCACGGTAGCCTCGATAATGTTGGCGGCATGACTCTCGCTGGTGGACTCATTGTACGAGTTGCTGCCTGTGTTATCTGCGGGGGCGTTTGAAGACGACGCTCGATTATTGGCCATTACTCTCTACCGGGCTGGCCAATTTAAGAAGATTTGCCAAAAAAAAAAAAACGAATACTTGTCGAGGCCCGGGTGTTATGTTGCGGTGACAGATTTATAGCAGCGCATGCTAGTACTTTAGGTGCTTGTATTTACCAAAAAGGATGTATAAGAAGTAACAACTCGAAGACAATATCAAGCATTACAATGCACATAAATCCATGGTCTATCACTCGCTCGCTCGCTTGAAGAAGACCAAATGCAGAGGTATGAAGATTGAGTATCTCGAACAGGATTGAAGTGTTGCGGTGTAAAGCTAAAAAGCAGTCGCGTGTGGACTTTGATATATGGTGAAGGCATTTTGGGGTTTGGTGGGATTCATGCAGGGTGGAGGGGCAGTGTCGGAGTGGATGGAGATGATAGGAGGTACCAGCGGCCATGCATGCCGCATTCATTGCGCCTACATCATTGGCGAAGCACCTGTAGTGATGGCGCCGAAAACATACAGCGAGGATAAAAATGCTGGATTGATGGAATACTTGCGATAAACGGGTGTTGGAGTAGAATTCATGAGATTACACTCTATATTAATCTCAAGCTTCCAATCTGCCCGACTTTATACTGCTGGACGCTCTACAATGCTCATCTATCACCAATCTCAAGAGCCTCAAGGTGGGATGTGACCTGTGGAAAAACTAGATCGGCGACTGGTACCGATCTGCCGGAGACATTCCTAGAGGAGCAAGAGGCTTCGAGAAGACTGGCCCTTCTATATCGATTACTGATGTCCCTCTTTTTCTTCTGTTTATCTTCTTTTCCCATTGAAGATGTTAATATCACATCTCGAGAGGAAAGCAGAGAGTGATTTATCGCAGCCGAAGAGCACATCAGTTGCTGCAGATTAGGCATTTGGCTACACCAAATTGCAGCGGGTGTAGCTGTAATTGAAGCGAAACTTTTGGGAATGCAACGCCGGGCACTACCAGAACTCGCAATCGCAAGATAGGAATTAACCTACCAATAAATTATCTCATGAATGTAGCGACGATGCCGCATTGATTTATAAATGTCGGGTTCTTCTTAAATATTCGCTGTTCTAATGCAGTGGATGTCCCTCTAAATATCTCCGTTCAAATCTGAGACTTTGGATTGAGCGCTCCTAGACTTTCATAACCACCTTAAAATTCTTCTATAGTTGGACAAACAGGTATGCTTTATACAGCACACACTCTAAACAGCCATTCCAACGTATTATATAGAGCGTAAGACTCTTCACATCAAGATAAGCATTCTTACCCTCCTTTCTCAAAACACGTCGTCTTTTTTAAAATTCCTCTAGTGCCGGCTGTCAACTCCCGGACATATGCCAATAAGCCTTCTCACACGCCATGTAAACTTTTACTATTAATAAGTCATCATACTAAAGCTTCTGACAAGGAGCTCATGAGTACACCATAGTATGCAACACAAAGGAAAACACGACGCTCTGTGGCGCTGGGTGCCTCGTTCTCAAAAGATTTGATTGGCGAGGAGTTTTGAAAGGGGACGTTGCTTTTTTCCTGTTCTCCTGTTTTTCTTTCAAACTCAATAAGTCAAATTAAGTCCCATAAAAAGTCTTTTGCAAGCAATGACAACGACGTCGCTCTTTCCTTTGATACTTGATGAAAAGTAGAGATATAATGAACCATCCTGCAAAAACCTTGGACTTGGAGATAGAAATATGCGCGCCACCACTATTCTGCACGCTTTACTTGATTCATCAGTAGCCCTGCTTTCCCCCTGCAACTCTTTCTTTTTCAATTGAGAAATGAAAGAAATAAGTGAAAGGTCAATGCCTTTTAGAATTCAGAAAGATGAAATGCCAAGCGCACCGTCATAAGTAAAGCTTCCCACTTCATAGAGTACTGTGTGTGCAACGAGGAGCTAAACCAATCCTAGAAATAGCCAGCCGAATCATGATTCCGTAATTAACCTACGCAAAGCGCACCGGGCACCAACACAAGGTCAAACACGCAATTGAAGAAAAGAAGAAAGAAAAGGTTGACAGAACCAGAGCACGAGAAAACGAGTCAAAGAGAGAAAGGAAAAGAAAGGAAATGAAGAATGCTGCAATGCCATACAAAGCCGGGCTTTGCATGTCAGCTATCCAGGTAGCCTACCAATTTCCTCTTCTTTTATCTTACTTTCCTACGGGCGTTTCTCGAAGGAAAAGACAAGGGGACACGCAACAAAGAACCTGCGCTAGGAAGCAAATGCCACAAAATAAACGCACGCCACGACAACACCCTAATCAAATGCAACGAAGCCCTGCTGCTAATGACAGCTAATCGCCGTGGCGGCGCCCACCTTTTGCCCCAAACCCACAAGGCTGGAGAGGTTCAGCATAGCCAGGCTTGCCAGGATGCAGAGAGAAAACGCCATGCCAGGTCAATGCAGCTCGGCGCATGATCTTCTACCACTCAAAAGAGCTGTGGGCTCGATGGCGCTGCCAACTAACGTCAGCGCTGCCGAGGAGGCGTCCAATCAAAGAGTGCAGGGCCGCTGACACGAGGCAAGAGGAGCAGAGTCGGCCAAATCGGCAGGGCGAAAGAGAGGACCATCTGTGCTGTTTCAATCTGGTGAATGATCTGCTCAGAGTGCTGTCCCATCCACTGGTCTGAAAGTCGAAACTCTGTACAAGGGGTTCTGCTTGTAAACGTCAACAGCAGACGATGGAGGGACTGCCGGACGCCAGATGTCGGCTTGCGATGCGTAACTTCGTACATACCTGGCTAGCGCAGCCTCTCGATTGAATCTCGGTATGAGCAATAGGATAGACGTAGTCTATTGGGAGGGGGGAGCCGACCAGCCTAGCCCCGGCTCATCCATTCATCCATACTAGCAGCAGCAGCTGTCTACGGTCCGGACCCCGGTAAGGGTGTGACAGCAATTTGCGCACGCATCCCATCCGCCGATTATCACCAAGAGAGATCTTTCGAGAAGATCAACAGAACGGACTTGTACTAACGTAGTTGTCAGGAAGCCTATATCGATTAACTATAGCCGTGATTTACTACCAATGCTTTGTGAGCTGTTGCTTTTACTGTGGATAGCCCCTTTTGAAGCAACGGGGATACAGCACGGAGGACTGGAGCGGTGAATGCTATACTCAATCAGACACTATAGAAAGATGTATTCATAACGTCTAGTGCCGCTAGACAACTAGCCCAGGTCCAAGAACTGTGGTTCGTAGGCGACTTCAAAGGAATTCTGGGGAGATCGAAGGGTTACGACTCGTCGATCTGAACACAACAACTGTGACGTCCCAGAGTGATGCCTGTCAGGTAGATAGATTCGCGAGTCAGGCTGGAGCTGAAGCAGCTGATCTCAGGTGGCGAATAGACAAATGTTCAGCCCATACGGAGGACCGGTAACCAGGCCCATTGAATGCAGCAACATATGGGCGCCCTCCTTTGCTGCTACTGCTGCATTCCGATGCAGGAAGAGCATTCTAACACTCCTTTCTCGAAAGGCACCTGTACCTACCTTGTAAACCGCATGTTCCATCCAAACTGTCGCCTGCTCCTCAGTCTATGCAATGCTTGTGACGCACTTTCAGACGTGTCCCTTATCCTTGCAAGCTGTAAGACCAAAGTGGCTAATGCCAACAGGATAGCCGGCTTGCAACAGAGAGGGGAAGAGATACCCCTAGGCAAACGATACAAAATACTATCGGATAATTTTCCGATAAACCTCTGTTATCTCATACATACGAAGTAATCATTGACCTATGGCCCGATTCACGATTTCATTACCCGTCGTGATGTGAAACGTCGGCTTTACCGTCCTCTGCAGTGCCACGATGCAAAATGGCGCCCAGCAGCTGGCAGACGGTTTGCACAAAGGCTGAAGTCGCCAAGATTACCTAACCTGAACCGTGAATCTCCGATGCAACCTGTTGACACTATGGCTCCTCAGTAGTATGCTTGCGGGGACTCAAAACGACAAGCCTCGTATGTCTCGGAACTGCCATCGCTGACCCTGGTACTGCTGAAGTCTTCTTCGCTTAGCTTGGAAGCCACTAGCTCTGCTAGATGGTGCTCGTAGCTCGTACTGTACTTGTAGTAAGCGAATACTGCTAGCATAACGAGGATAGATTAGCAGTCCGCTGGATGCGAAGAGCACATTTCGTAATCTTGAAGTGTGCCCGCGGCAATTGGTCGTCAATCGGGGTGAAAGTGTATGCATCGCCAGCGTAAAATTCCCCATGCCCCTTTGCGGATGACTAAACAGCAGCATGTCCAACGTCCTCCAGCTGCTTAAAAAAAGTCCAAGTCCAGTCGCGGGAACTAGTGACGCACAGACGAGTTGCCACCACGCAAATGAGCTGCCCAAGCCCAAGCTAAGTACTTTGGCAGAGAATGCTACTTGTAAGCATTGGGCCAAGCCAATATCGCTACTCCGTACGAGTACAGTATAGTGAGACGGGCGGAGGCAGTGGCTTGGTCAAGGCTCCCAAGGCTCGGCCAATTGGCGCTGGTTGTCTCACTGCGAATATGCATGTACGTGCGCGTGCCGGCCCTCTGCTGCGTTTGGTGAGTTGAACGGCGGCCCTCTGTAGATACACGTAGGTAGCATAACATGTAGATGCCCGATGGGACAACCATGGTGGTTGGAGAAATCACCTCGGTGCCGTACTTGTACTCGTACAGGGTAGTCGTGTATGGCACATATTATGGAGAATACTCCGTAATAAAGGGTCTGGCACCATGGGCGACCTGCCAGCATGAATCCACCACAAGCTACGGCGCATCTCAGCCGACAGGGTGGACCCCAGAAAATGGTGGCCCAAGGTTCAGACCAGGCAGCGGAAATCGGCCGGGGGCTCGACCGCTAATCAGTGATCGAAGAGTACTTCTAGATGAAATCCGCCGGGATCCGAACGTAAGGACCAACAACAACAATCTCCCCTTTCCCCCTCCCTCAACCCTGGCTTTGCAGTACCGGAGCGTTGGATGCGAAATATCAAAACGCTCCAGGGGCAAGGCCGTCTGCTGCTGTCAGTCTGTTGGGAGAATCGGCACTCCTCGTAGAGCACCCGGTATAACTCATGGCACGACGAAGCAGCCCTAAGACCAGCAGCAGCCGGGCACCCTGGGGGCTGTGGGCGGCGGCTGACATTGGCCTTTCGTCTTTGCACATGGCAAGCCCCGAGTAGATAATGCTAGGGCTTGGAAGTATGAGAATACGAGCGAGTTGCGCATTCTTGTAATCGTAGTCCTGGCACGGTGTACGTGCTCTGCGCGATTCGTCTCCTTTGGCTGTTGTACTTTTGTACTTTTGGCGCACATGCAATTGGGGCTGCCCCCTTTGATGCAGCCAGCAGCCTCCAGTCTCCTTTCCGCAACCATTCCATCCAGACAAGATCAGGGCCAAAGAGGCCATGGCGGCCAGCCCAGCCAGCCTGAACTTTGATAGGATTGGCAGGCGAGCGGAAAGTTGAAACAGTGGAAAGAAAATTCATGCATGGAGAGTTTTAGCTGCCGAAAACTTGCAGTCCAAGGCGTGGGCGAAGCAAGCTAACAGCGTGTGGGGCCCGTCCTGATCTCCTTTCGCCTCACCAAAACCTGTTCATTCGCTGATCGCCGGCCCAAGAGGAATCGCTACTACGTCTGCACAGCCTAGACGGAACGTACCGCTGCTAGCGAGAGGTAGAAGAGATGTGACGGAGATGCTTCCCATAGCATGGTCGAGAAGAAGTGCTTGGTATAACCAACCTACGTTCGCTCAGCTCATCGCGTAAGCTGCCTGTCTCTCTGCTGGACCATCGGCAGGCGTTATCTTCCAGAATGTTTGATACGCACTCCGCAGCCGCATGAAGGCTCAGGAACGCGCGTGGCGTGCGACAACGCAAGGGGAGGCCGACCTGAATGAAATGAGAACTGGGGCAAAGACACTGCTAACTTTCTGCCTTCCTTTGGAGCTTCGAGAAGACGATGGCGAAAAGCAAATCTGCAATATTTCATCAGCAAAGAGGTCATAACATCAAGCAGCAGCAGCATCAAAATCACAAGCGATCAAATGTATCTTCGCAGCGCCTGACGATGGTAGCAGTACTTTGGTCTCGAGTACCGCGGACAGTGTCTTGAAGAGCTTGGCGATACGTGGGTTCGAGAATGGAGATGGCCGGAGGTGGGTCCTGCCGTTCCCATGTCAGCGAAGAAACTGGTAGCACTACTCCAGACTCCATAGCGCATGCTCCCAGGCATCTGTAGTGCTACTATACGAAGTGCTCCGCAGTGTCAGGTAAGTTTAGTAGCAGACGGTATAGCATAGGGCAGGTAAGCAAAGGCAGTGGTTCGCTCGATTTCGGTGGCTAGAAGTCGTTCTTGGATAGAATCCAGTAGCACCTCTCCATCCAGCTTCTGAGGTTTTCTTCCTCTGCTCTATCATAGAGTGATGCTAATCGTAGTAGTACAAGCTTCGTTGCTGGCCAAGTTATCAGTTATCTAGTAGGATTCCTCAGCTTAGTGCTTGCCAGAGACCAGCGAGGTCAATATCTTGTCAATTTCCTGGGGCGTCGACAAGGTTGCTTTGTACCACTAGAGAACGACAGGCACATCTCTTCAGTTGCCAAGAGCGCCATGTAAGGCAATGTGTGTGCGAGTTCCAGCCTCCAAATGTGCAGCCAATGCGCGCGCTATTATAGCTGGCGTGGGCTACGGCAATCTTGAAGTGCCGTCAGCCTGTGAAGATCGATTGAAATTGTTACTGACGCCCAGTTAAGATATAATTTGCCATCATCTTGCTATTCTCTCTCTCTCTCTCTCTCTCTTTCTCTCTCTCTCTCTCTCTCTTTCTCTCTCTTTCTCTCTCCTTTCCATATTTTGGTTGGCTGGTCACGGGGACAAGCATCTCCACAGCTTTTTCAGCTACTGTACATTTGCCTCTGCTCCAATTCCAGATCACGATTGCACAAGATACCTAGCTCCCATGGCCTTCGATAGAGAAGACTTCTCCAAAACCTCCAAGAGAGGGGTTCAAGCAAACTAGCCCCCGTACCATGTGCGCTAGACATGGATTAGTCCCAGGGCAATGCGCCCACCATCAGCGAGCCTGAGTGCTGTCTCTTTTTGCCTCTTCCCCAAGCCGCAGTATTCTTGACGCTTTGGCATCTCAGTTTGCCCGAAAACGAAAATTCCTCTCACTGTTGCTCTTGTCTGGCACATAGATTCAAGAAGAAGCTCACCTCTTGTTGAATGAGTACATGTTAGCATACTGCATGCACCAAACCATCTCGAGAGACAGGCGCTATTCGAGCCAAGTGAAGTTGTATGAAGTAGATACACCAGTCAGAATCACGCTCTGCTCAGTCTTTTGCAGTCTATCCAGCGGCAATGGAGAATCTTACGGGGCACTACGTATGTCTCTGATAGAGAGACCCGTCCTTGCTGTTGAACGGACGCATGGAATCCTCTTGGCCCGCGGCACGGCATTCTCACGCACTCTTACTCCAGCAACCTTGCTCACGGGTGTGATAGGCGCCTCTCCCGTGCCAGACTAGGTGGACATGCATGCAGCGCTGATACGAGTACATTGTGTATAAGTAGTAGACGGCTTTCATGAGCCGTTCAGACGAGTGAATAATTCCAAACATGTACCTGCTTGGTGCCCCATACAATCTACTATGTACAGCATTACCACATCTACTAGTATTGGCCTCAGTGCTTACCTGAACGCAAAAATGCTTCGCATCGGCCCCCGGCGACGACAATATGGAGGTACTCGTACTAGCAGAAAGCCTGCCGCCAGTTGGCCAGCATCGCCGGCCATGCGTACCGGTACTTTGGCGACCTGGTGGTTGCGAATGGCCTCGCTAACCCGAGCTCACAGCTTTTTCGCAGACCGGGATGGAGAGAGTGGATGGCAGGGATTGAGCGCCATGTGGGACCCCCATGCTAGGCATCCCTGGCCAATCTGCTAGCGTTCCCACCAGAACTCGCCGTGAGAGAGCCCTACCCACGGCCGAGATCAGCGATGCCAGAGCCCAGGCGCCAGACAGACAACTGCCAGGCCCAAGGGGACCCTCGAATGATCCACCGCCGGTCGCCAATCCCAGGCCCATCCATGCCATGCCATACTGGTAGTTGAGCAGACCTGGATGTCTCTAGTTGAGTGAATGCTGCAGATGTCTCTCTGTCTCGTCGTCGCCCGCTGTCAAAGGTTACCCAAGGTTTAGCTTTTACGATGCGCAATGGGCACAGAGTTTTGTTTACTGGTCCCGGGCGATTTACGCAAGAGAGCGCTACGTGCAGCTGCAGTGAAGTCCTATGAACTATTAACGAGAGATAAGAAGGAAATCTAGGAAGATACGATGCTTCTCGCACATGCTTCGTTTCCGTGCAACTCAACCTCTGGAAAGCCACCTCTCAGTGTGGACAACTCTAATACAGCGCTAGTGCTTGGGTGTATCGCTCAACAGGCCCTAAAGCCAAGCCGCACCGCGCGCCGAAGCTCAGCCAAATCTTTCCTTCTTTCTTCCCTTCCAAAGCCAGAGTGGCATTAATGGGTACTCTGGAGTAGAAGCCGTTCACTGTAGTCGTCGCCGTGTAGGTTCTCGCAGCTGCAGGCGGTACCAGGTACGGCCGTGCAGGTACATTCTGCGTGCTCCATCTCCATCCTCTTCCGTCCTGATAAACCCCCCCCTCCCTCTGCTAGTGTCCGCCTGACTACCGTACGGTACACTTTGCTCGACTGCCAGCCGTTGGCCACCTTCGCCCTGCTGCCAGTTCTGCCGTGCTCAACTCGGGGTCAGGCGCTGTCTCTGGCTTTGTGCTGCTGCGAATGACGAGCTGAGCCGCCTCTCTCTCGTCTGCGAGTTGTATCGCATTGTATCGTGCTGTATCGGATACCGTGGACAAGGCAGCGCGCTCGTGCATGCGCCGTGTCTGGCTGTCTGGCGCTGCCTCGGGCGCTGCTTGTTAGTGCTGCGCAGGCCGGCGTCAGGTTGTCGCAGTACCGCGCTTGACGTATCAGGTACCACGTCGTCCCCCATCAGGCTCTGCCCAGCGCAAGTACCCTTGTATCTTTTCCCTCCCAGCCCACCCCCCAAGCCCACGGTAACTCTAATCCGCTTCGCCTGCTCTGCTTGTCTTGCCTCTCTCTCTTCTTTCGCCCTCATTCTCCAAACCACCACCCTCGTCCCTTTCTCCTCTCCCACCTCGTGCCGGCCTGTCGCTGAAGCGATTTCGTTCCCTCGCAGGCTTTTTCTTCAACGCGCAGGTGGTTTTTCTTTTTTTTTTCTTTCCTGTTTCGATTTTCGATTCAGCTTGGAAATCCTGGTTCCAGGCCTTCTCGCATCCTGAGCCAGGCTATCCGCCCTCGTGTTTCGCCGCACATCCACTGCTTCACCATCGCAATTTCTGCTAGTCGCCCTTCTTCCTTTGCCTTTTTTTCTTGGACGACGTCGACGACACCTCGATTTTCTTCTCCGAGCGCCCCATTGACACTCGCTCAACCTCTCATCACCGACCATTATCGCACCCTCCAGTTTCGCAGCCCATCCCTGCATCAGCTCTGCATGCCCGATCTGGTCAACCAACCTTCGTTGTTTACCACCAAGCCGAGACTCTTGCGTTTGGAGGGAATCGCCACCACCACACGCCCATTCCGGGTTTCGAGTTCGAGCGCATGTTATATCTCAAGGCCCCTATCAAGTACAAGTACGGCAAACTTTTTTTGCCCAGGTGCATTCCCCACGAAGCTCGATATAGGCGGGCTAGGAGGTTGCTAGGCAAATTGTAGCATCCACTGCGACTACTTGCTTTCTGCCTAGGGGACTAGTCGTCCGCTCGACTATCCGCCATACCTCGTCGCTACTACGTGCACCGCGTCTGATTGCAAAGCTTAAAGCGTCGACTGGCCGAGCCTCTTTTTGATTAGGCTTACATCGCGGGATTCGGCCCTATTTGCGCTCGTTGTTTGATATTCGAACTCGTCCATACCAAAGCTTGAGGGCGTAACTGGCGCAAACTCGAAGCGGCCATGGCCGCCAATATGCAGCATATGGCTGGGGCAGGCCAGATGATGCCTCAACAAATGCGAAAGCCCACCGCAACCCAGCTGCAGCAGGCAGTCTATCAGAATATCCAACAAAACACACCGCCATTAAACGGCATGACTTGGCAATCAAATTTCTCTGTTAATGAGCGAATGGGAAAAACATTGGAGTTGTACGTACCTAATTAGATTTTTTTCTCTGACTCCGTCTGCAACTCTTTTTTTCATCAAAACTCCAACTAACATGGTCCCAGAATTTCCAATATCACTCTTGCTATGAACACTCTTGACTACAGCCGAGCAACCGATTTTGGATGCCAGTTCGAACGAGAAATGTTTCACAAATCGCCGACAAAAGTACGTCTCAGTTACCGCTTCCCTCTCGC